AAGGTCCGAGACCAGAGGCATCTCCTGAAATGCTGCCATTAGAGGAGAAGTTTTCCTTGTAAACAGAGCTGGCCTAATTTCTAGAGGTGCTGAACATCGACCTGCAGTGCTTGTTGGTAGGTCCTGAGCACACAAAACCTGGAAACGGGTCAGGTGTGTGTGGCTGGGACTTTATCAGGAACACGTCTGGGCAAATCCACGATAACCAGGTTGAAACAAAAGAGAACAAATAATTGCCCCTCAGCTGGTGACCTCTGTGAGCAGAGCTGGGCACTGGGGCTCCAGGAGACCTGCCGGTTCCTGGGCTTCTTGCTGCCACTGACAAAGTCTTCTGTCACAGCCAAGGTCTGCATAGGATGAATGACCTCTTTGTCTGGCCATTCTTTGCAGGGTGAGGTCCCCAGTGACCTGGTTCTTTGCTTCCAGAGGAGACCAATGGTCTTGCTGTCCAGGTGCAGAGATTCCCAGAAGGTTTTTCACGGAGGACAGAGAGGAAAAAACCTGGCTGTGGAACCCCAAGTAGGGCTGGGACCGAATCACCGGCAAGAACCCCACCAACCCCTCCTTCACCCATGTAATCAGAGGGAGGTGAGCCTTGCCTTGAGCACAGACACAATGTTTCTATTTTTGATGCCCTGGATCTTTAAAGTTGCATCCACCGCTGAATTAAGCAGTGTTTGCTTTTCAAACCTTCCACATTTGTATTTTTAGCTCCGTTTTGGCATCACTTTTTTTGGTTGGAATATATAACACACTGGGTTGTTTAGTGTGCCTGGACCGAGTTCAGCCGATGTGTAACTCCACGGGCTGGAGCAGAAGCTCCGTTCAAGGTGAATTACACTCTATGGGGCTGAGGAAATACAGCTTCTGTAGAAAGGCAGCTCGGCTCCCTCGGTAAATGCTACACTATTTCCATCCATGGTTATTCCTTTGTGGTTTGGGTTATGTATTTACATTTTACGGAATAAATACTACAGCTTTCCCCATGACTAACACTTCTTAGTAACCAAGGAGCTACTCAAATACGCTCTTGCCTCCTACGAGAGCCCAAACCACACTGCTCTGCCCTGGCTCCCTGGCCCCAGCTGGCCACCTCCTCGCAGGGCACGGTTAACCAGCGTTACATAAGCGAATTTTGGGATCTGGGTTTGACGGGATGGCTTAGGAGAGAGCAGGCACTGGATGTCATGGGACTGAATTTCTCAGGGACAAACGTTTCCAGCACGGCCGCCCTCTGATCCCAACAAAATCCGGGCGAGGACTTCGGACAAAGAGCACAACTGCTCCCACAAAGAGGGAGCCCGTCGCTCTTCCCGATCCAGAGGTCTGTTTTAGAGCCATACAGGCCCTCGTGTAAACTTTGTTTATAGACTGGAGTATTTTCAATGAAAATGTTATTTAACTTTAAAAAGTTGCACAGCAGCTACTCCCAAAATTGTTTTCACTTGTTAAGAATAACACACAGTGTGATACGTTTGAAATGGCGATAGCAATATTTCACAAATTTTGATGGATTCATAGTCCAAATACCTTGCTAACAGATGTTTCTTTTAAACTTGGAGTGGTATAGGAATAACTCAGAGATATTACCGTGTCAGCACTGCCTTTTATCTGTGCGTGTCCTTTCGGTGACATCCCTGGGCTTTTCTAATGCATGGGTCAGGTCTGAGCTAAAGAAAAAAAAAAAAAAGTGAAATATGAAAAGGAGGCGTCTGTGATGGGATGGTGTGTGAGCTCTGGGGCAGCGCTGGAAGGACGCCGAGGTGCTGGTGTGGGCTTGCTGCACGCTTGGGCACGGCAGCCCGGTGGTTTGTGGCCACGTGGCTGGTTCACAGTCATCGTTTCTGAGCTGGTTTTTGGTTGTGGTTAATTGATGAGCTTCGGAGTTCCCATGGCCACTCCACGACCACATCTTTTGGTCTCATAAATTAACCGGCTGTTCTCGCCGTGGGTGACAGTTTGCCCAACGCAAAGGGACACCCCAGTAGGGCAAAGGGGCAAGATTCTGATGCCCTGTGGGGTGGTTCAGTCTACTCCGTGCCTCCAAAACATGTGGCATCCATCACTTTTCATTAGGGTGTCCTCCTCTGGAGCTGCCTTCTCCACATCAATCCCAGTATGCCCAATCCCCATCAATCCCACAATTGTTCATACATCAATCCCAGTATGCCCAATTGATGTGCCCTACTGGGAGACCAGTCTGTCCCCAGACTTCACTTGGGAACAGTCTCAAGCCTTGGGATGTCTGGCTCTTAGTCTCAGCCCCAAAGATGGCCCAGGGCAATGCTGGGGTTGAACTGTGGGGCAGGGAGCATCCTTCCTCCTGGAGATCCCTCTGGAGCAGCCAGCTGTGGCCTCATACAGCCCTTGGAAAGGTGCCTGCTGCACATCCAGGTGGGGGTCTGGGCACCGGGCCTGGTGGGAAGGGGGAGAGAGCTATGCAGGCAGCCAGGGAGGGAAGGGTCAGGAGAAGGATGAGAAAACCTGGATGGCGGGTGGGAACCCAGGGCAGGGAGCAGGGATAACCCCCAGGCCTGGCAGCGGGCTCCCAACCCCGGGGAGGGGACTCTCGGGTGGTGGGAGCACAGGAGGGACCCTCTCTCTGCCG